AAATGCCTACAACCTCTAGCAAGTCCTTGCAGAATTCCTAAATACCATATAATTTTGCCTCCTCTGCAACAAGTTCTTAGTATCTGCCAAACCTCGCTTTTATTTTTCCATCGGCTCTTTCAGTTGTTCTTCTAATTTGACCTTCTCTTCCAGGAGTATCTTCTCTGTAGAGGAAGTATCTCTCTTCTGTTCCATTTTGACTCATGTCCTCTCTTCCATTCTGGCCACCGCTCTTTTGTTTTGTAGCCGTGCACAACAGGAGAGGGCCTGAGAGGCGATGCCAAAGCTGGGAGCCTGTCTTGCCAGCCTCACCCACTGAGGGTTCAACTCCATAATGTTTTAAAATTTCTCTCACATATCACTGTATTCTTCTATGTATGTTCTTATTTTATTCATTCATCACTTTCAACATAGTTACCAACTCAACCTTTTATCTACTTTTAGTTCTTATGATATACAGATTGTACCAGCTCAGATGCTTTCCCATTGCTTGTCACCTCACTTCTCATCCTTTGTGCTTCTAATTTACAATTGTGTCCTGGGTTACCCCCCCATGCCCGTTCCCCAATTTTCTTAACCACAATTAGAAGCCTATTTTGTAATTAAAGTTTCTTTGTCTTGGATACATATTTCTCCCCTCTTAACAGTAATTACATAGCAGGGCAAACTACACCTTGCATATACACATAGTTTAGAATAGTGAAGTCATTTTAAGGTACAGGAGGACATCTATCTTTCTAGAATTTATTCTGAGGAGGAGAAGGTAAATGAACATACAGCCACATTTTAAACTATAATTTTTTTCTCCTTTCTCAGGTTTAGAAAAACAGTTTTTCAAAGAGAATTAGTATGGGAAATTTTTTAAACTTATATATGTAATAATGTCAGAATTTTATAGAATGAATGGCTGGGAATAGAACAATGAAAGTAGCAAGAGGTCTTCCATTGTGTTTGAATGCTTCTTTAATAAGGGAAAAAACATATTTGAATGACTGCTAATAAAGGAATCTTTTTTAAAAAACTGTATTGAGAGGGGTGCCTGGGTGGTGCAGTTGGTTAAGCATCTGACTCCTGGTTTTGGCTCAGATCGTGATCTCAGGGTTGGTGAGCCCTGTGTCGGGCTCTGCAGTCAGCATGAAGTGTACTTGAGTTTCTCTTTCCCTCTTCTTCTGCCCCTTCCCTCACTCTCTTGCTCTCTAGCACTGAAATAAATCTTTTGAAAAACTGCATTGAGAAACCCACAAAATTCACTTATTAAAAAGCTTTAATGTCCAATAAATTAAAGGGTATGTGTTTTCAGAAGTAGAGGGTAATACAGGCTACGCTTTCAGAATAGGGGAGTGTTTCCGAAGGATTTATTAGTAATTAACAAGGGCAGGATTTAAACAATTTGAGCAGCAAAAGTATCTCTTTGATTTAACTGCAGTCTGTTTTGTGTGTGTTTTGAAAAAAAATTTTTTTTATTTAAAGATTTTATTTATTTATTTGACAGAGAGAGAAGCGGAGAGAGAACACAAGCAGAAGTGGGAGAGGGAGAAGCAGGCCTCCTGCTGAGCAGGGAGCCCGATGCCTGAGGGGCTCGATCCCAGGACCCTGGGATCATGACCTAAGCCGAAGGCAGACACTTAACAACTGAGCCACCCAGGTGCCCCTGAAAACGTTTTCATATAAATAAACTTGGGGAAAAATTCTTCATTTTTTGGCAGGGATCTCAAGTTAAAAAATAGGGTTTTCTAGTTATGATGGAAAAGGCTAACATCTAGTTGGGTCTCTGTAATACTTTTAAAATTACCCTGGGCACATAAGGTTTTGTCCAAATGACAAAGAAACCTATACATCCTTCATTTCTTTGGTGACCAGATACATCCTGGAATCCATGGCCACTCTTAGGCCTATTTAAAGCTTGGTTCTTACAGTGAGATTCTTAAATTCTAGTTATTTTTGTAATGATAAGAAGTTTAAAAAACTAAACCTTGTAAATTCCTCTTAGCTTCTTCTGTATATGCTACCCCCCCATAAAATTTAAATTCTTGCTATGATGAGTTCTAAGAAGAGAAAAGCGTCTGATAACAACATTAATATAAATGGATTTTGTGTTAATGATGCAGCTGCCTATCTTGTTTGCAATAAAAATATTTCTTATTCTAAAGAATATAAAAAGGAACTATAAGAAATACATATTTTAATATTAAATAGCTAATAAGATTAATCAAAAAGAAAAAATGGCAAAATAAACCAGCTTCAGAAGAGTCTTAGCAAACAACAGTATTTGCTGAACAGCAAAGCATTACATTGCATTATTGCAGTGTGTATGAATTACATAGGGGCTGAATGAAATTTCAGCCCAAGATGAGGAAATTAACAAAAAAGTCTGAGTACAGATAAGGTGTTTCATGACAAAGATAAAATGGCTGAAAAAAACCCCAACCTTTTTAATGCAATTCTGTAAATATTTAGTTTTCTAGACTTGATCCATATGTGGAAAAGACTGCTCACCATTGGCATACACTAGGATTAGAGAAAACAGAAATGTAGTAGATAAAGATATGGGCAAGAGTGGCTCATTGTTCTGGACCTCAGAAATTTTGGGAAGACTACTACTGTGGGACGCAACAGAAAGAATTACCAGTTGGGGCGCCTGGGTGGCTCACTCAGTTAAGCAGCTAATTCTTGATTTCGGCTCAGGTCATGATCTCAGGGTCCTGGGATTGAGCCCTGAGTTGGGCTCCCCACTCAGCAGGGAGTTTGCTTCTCCCTCTCTCTCTGCCCCTCCTGTTTGTGCTCTCTCTGTCTCTCTCTCAAATAAATAAAGTCTTAAAAAAAAATAAAAAAAATTAACCAGTTAATGGCAGTGTCACCAGGGTAGGTTCAAACATATAAGAATGAGTCTTCATTAGAATAAGATGACTTAGAAAGTCTACTTGGTGAGAACAACATTAAGTTAAGGTTTTAGAGTCTTAAGTCTAAGCCTAAGTTAAGGTTTTGAGTTTTGGTGAACGGAGTAGAGAGGGCACCTTTCACTATGACACACTTCATTACCTCACAGCAACTATCTCAAGCTGTACTCAATCAAATTCTCTCAAAAAACTTAAATGATTAAGTGATTTGAAGCTAGTTAGTTAAGATTGGTTCATTCTGGTATAAAAACTGTTTCATTTATTTGAAAGGATATTTAACTTGCAGCCAAAGGCAGAAGGGCTTCTCCAGGGACATTTCAGTTTAACAACTGTCTGTTCATTATCAGGTATGCGCCAGGTATTGTGCTAGATGCTAACCACACATGCAAAAGACTTGGCCACTCAGCCACAGAACATTTAGGGCTGTGTAGAAATGCAAAACAGGTTGCAAGATGGCTCTTCAAATGGAAGCAATCTAGGCCCTATCCAGTTCTCTGATATCAATTCGTGATGCCTTGAAAACAGGCACGATGGTAGCTGCACCAGTTAGTTACCGTTATACTTTAGTGTATTGATTTAAAAGTCAACTAAATTATTACAGAACAAGAGCACATTATAGTTCTGAGCAAAAGAAAAATGAATAAATCTGTTCTGATGAGCTGATTAAATAAGCTGACTGGTTTTCTAAAATACAGCATTACACAGTATCTGTGCTTTATGTACTATAGTATATATGCCAAAATAGGATAGATGTCCTGGAAACATTCTGTATGGGCTAGAGAATAAAGAACTACAAAGCCTTAGTTTTTACCTCTGGTTAAAAAAGGAAAGTTGCACACCACGTGAGCTCTGATATTTCCATACTGAGGAAGTCTATCGTTGCTTCTAACCCAAAACATCAATGATCTATGCTTTCTTTAAATGTTACTATCTGGGGCACGTGGGTGGCTCGGTCGTTAAGCGTCTGCCTTCAGCTCAGGTCATGATCCCGGGGTCCTGGGATCGAGCCCTGCATCGGGCTCCCTGCTCCGCGGGGAGCCTGCTTCTCCCTCTGCCTCTCCCCCTGCTTGTGTTCCCTCTCTCGCTGTGTCTGTCAAATAAATAAAATCTTTAAAAAAAAATAAAAAATAACTGTTACTATCTGCTTACAAATACTTTGAGGGGGAAAAAAAAGGGCTGCTTACTTATTCTCAGTGTAACTACACACCAAAAAAACAAGAAAGCTTCTTTTCTCCTTTACTAACTGAATTTGGTATTTAAAAAATATTTTGGCAGAAGATGACTGCTTATTAGCCTAGTGATCCTGACCACAGCTGGAATACAGCCAAGCAGTTCATCACCTTGCTGCCTTCTTCTCTTTTTCAAGACTTCCTCACTTCACAGAAGGGGCTTTGAAGCTAATTCTGAGTTTAATAGCTGAAGAATGCTACAAACAAATTGATCACTGTTTAAAAAAATGAGTCCCTTTACAAGTAGTCTTATGAATTATTGCAACTGAAATTACAGTTTAAGAAATTATGGGTTAAAGACACACATGTCGAAGGCACAAGTTCTAGTTCCGACATGGGCAGAATGTAGCTGTGTAACCTTCCCCATCTATAAAATAAAGGGACTGAACCCAGATAGTTGCTAAGGTCCCTTTCCACATCTAAATTCTAGCTTTCCCTTCTCTACCTGAGCAAGGAGAGGTATTTTGTATCAAAATACAAAACAAAACAAAAACAAAAAACCCTGACATGAATGCTACCTGGTCTAACAACTGTTACTTAGAGTTCAAGATCTACTATGTTCTTTCTCTTGGCAGTTTATACTACTTACAAGGTGACCGGTTAGGAAGGCTTTTTACTAAAGTACACGATATAAGTGGCTTCACTGTCAGACTTTCCGTGCAAAGATGATCCAAACACCACTGACTTGCAGTGGAAAAGTACTAGCCTGGGAGTTGGGTTTTAACTTGGTTCAGTGACATTTCTTAGGTAAGTAACTTAACATCTCTGGGTCTTGATTTTCCCAGGTGTAAAGTGACAAAGTTACACTAGATTATCTCTAAGACCTTTCCTAAAACCAAAACTCCAAGTCTCTAAGTGGTTACTCTCAACCTACCCTTTTGTAATGCATTGTTTCCAAAAACATCTTGGTCTGCTTATAGATTTCTTGGCCTGTCTTGTGGAAGGTCTTGAGAAATTCTATGAACTCTTTAGACACTCTATCCGTTTCAATGCTGGCTTGCCGGTTTATGGAAGGACTGGGAGCTTTTGCTTCCTGAATTTCTGCTGGGAAAATTAAACATAATGAGTTTCATTACATAGAAGATCCATGCATGGAATTACTTTAAGTATGTAACTTAAGATTATTTAAATTATGCTTAATCAAAGTTAAACTTGAATTTCAATTACTTTATGTTTAAATACTTGGACAACTTTACTTAAATTGAGCTAAATCTATTTTATGACTAGGAGGTACAAGCAGATAAAACTATATGATATTCCCATTCAAATAAAAGTTGTTCTACTAATATTTTCTTAGCCAAAATATATCATGCTTTGATCTACATACTTAATTGTAAAAACTGAAATAGCACTACTATCTTGAACTTTCTCAAAGACTGCATGAGTTTATGAAACTAGTCAACAAGTAAAATAACAATCAGTAGAAGCACAAAAATGTTAGGTTACTTATAAGATGTTAACTCTTCCAAATCCATTCTACCTGTCAAAGAGGCTAATCTGTTTATGTGGAGACTAACAATTATTTACCCACCATTCAGTTTTCAAGTCATACTGCTCAAAGTGAAAGAATGCATCCAAAGTAGCACAGTGATGACAGAACATAGAGCAAACAGGCAAGCGAAACAGATCAAACACTGTCTACTCAGCGGCCACACAACTCTTTCCTCTCTTCAAAATAATACACTGAAAGGAAAATGGGACCTTTACAGAACAAAGATAAGGGTGATGCGATAAAGTGCTCAAGGACAGCATGAACTGTATCACCAGATCTCAGACCACGTTCTAAGCCTCCTGATTTTGAACTGTGCTAATTCAATAACTGTAACAAATTAAATTACCTCATACTCCCATGAAGACAAAGTATCTTTTGAAAGTATTGAAATCAACTTATTACCTGCTGTCTCAGAGTAACTTCTTATAATTCCACTTTTTAAACTTTAGTACCTGCAATACATTTTAATGATGAAGGTGCACTAAAGTTTTAAGACTGGACTATTCAAGGGGCGCCTAGGGGCTCAGTCAGTTAGGCATCTGGCTTCAGCTCAGGTCATGATCCCAGGGTCCTGGGATCAAGCCCCACATGGGGCTCCACCCTCAGCAGGGAGTCTGCTTAAGGATTCTCTCTCCCCTTCTCCCTCTGCCTGCCCGCCCAACATGCTCTCTCTCTAATAAATAAATAAATCTTAAAAAAAAAAAAAAAGAAGAAGAAATCTAACAGTTCAACAGGAAACTGGGTAAAGAATACTGAGCAGAGAGGAAACATAAATGGATCTTAAACATAGGAAACATGCTCTATCTCACTCATGATAACAAATTCGCAAATTAAAACTAAATGAGATGCCATTTTAAAAATTAACAGACAAAAATTTGATGCTGATGGGGATATGGGGAGAAAGGCACTCTCATACTGTGGAGGTGAGAATGTAAAATGATATAACTGCAATAGAGTGCAATGTGGCAATAATCGTCAAATTAAAAATACATTTATCCTGGGGCGCCTGGGTGGCTCAGTTGGTTAAGCAACTGCCTTCAGCTCAGGTCATGATCCCAGAGTCCCGGGATCAAGTCCCGCATCGGGCTCCCTGCTCAGCGAGGGGTCTGCTTCTTCCTCTGACCCTCTCCCCTCTCATGCTCTCTCTCACATAAAGAAAATCTTCTAAAAAAAAAATACATTTATCCTATGACCCAACAATTCCATTTCTCAGAAATTTTCTGACATAATGGCACATGTACAAAATGAAATATGTACAAGGCCACTCATTTTAGCACTACTTACAGCAGCAGAAGACTAAAAATGGCACAGATATTTATCACTAAGGGACTAAATAAATTGTGGCTTAATCCACAAAATGGAATACTGTATAGTCTTAAAGTATTTTTAATGTATTAAAAAGGAAGAGTTCTTAAATGCTCAATAAAAAAAAAAGGACAGTATGTAAGGACAGAGAGCAGAGTATATGTAATAAAAATACATGTGTCTATAAATGAAAACAAAAGCACATAAGGATACACAAGAAACTAACAACAAAGGTCGTGTGCATATGGGAAAAAGATGGTGGCAGTGGCTGGAAAGTAGATGGGTGAGGGACCGTACACCTTTTATTCTGGAGCCATCTGAATGCACTACTTATTTTCATTTTAAGCAAATAAATAAATCAGGTACAATTTAACTTAAAACAAAAACTGGCAACACCCTTCCTGAAACACTTTTTACCAGTATGGAAAACCAAAAGTTGTATTTGACATCCTGTATGATTAGAAAAAGTTCTTTAATACTTAAGGGTTTAATCCTTCACTCAAACTGATAATTCCACTCCTAGTCACGATGGAATAACAGGGATTGGGTTTACCCTACTGCCCTAACAACTAGAAAATCCAGACAAAATATATGAAATAATGGTTTTTAGATACTGGACAATAGACAGATGGTAGAGTAACTCCTGAGAAAAGTAGACAAATACGGTAAGTCCTAGGAGTACCCCAGCTTACTACAGGGAGAATTTTTAGGCCATGGCACAGGGGAAGGCAAGGCAACTCAGAGTCTAACAGACTGGCTGAATTGGGGAAAGAGCATTTAAAGCTAAGGGAGGCCAAAGTCCCTAGAAACTGCATGGCAAAATGAGAGGATGGGGCTGCATAGAAAAAATTCCAGATAACTGCAGAGGGGTTCCCTCGAGTCTGTGACTGAGTACTGCATGTGTGTGTTAGAAAACTACCAATGACTGTGTACAGAAGCAGGCAGAACAATCCCCAGAGCACACACAACTGGGAATAATTCATTTCCCAACAGCCAGGAACAAAGAACATCAGCAATGGCAAATGTAAAAAACATTTTCTCATTTAAAAAATTTTTTAGAGGGGCGCCTGGGTGGCTCAGTCGTTAAGTGTCTGCCTTTGGCTCAGGTCATGATCCCAGGGTCCTGGGATTGAGCCCCGCATCGGGCTCCCTGCTCCACGGGAAGCCTGCTTCTCCCTCTCCCACTCCCCCTACTTGTGTTCCTTCTCTCGCTGTCTCTCTGTCAAATAAATAAAATCTTCTTTAAAAAAAAAAAAATTTTTTTTTAGAAGATAATTAACGGTTTACAGCTAAAGTAATAATAAGGGATTGTGGGATTTATATCATATGTGTAAGTAAAATGTAGGACAACAATTGCACAGAGTGGGAGGAAGAAATCTAACAATACTATTGGTAAGGTTCTTATATGTAAACTGGTATAACACCATTTGAAGGTAGAGTAGTTATAAGGTATTTTTTAAACCTCAGAACAGCCACTTAAAAAAGAAAGAAAGAAAGAAAAGAAGTACAGCTAATAAGCCAATAGTGAAAATAAAGATATAATCATATAAAAAACAATCTACCAAAACAAAAATTTTACTAAATATAAATAGCCTGAACAGTCCAATATAAGTAGCCTAAATAGTCCATGATCCCTATATATCTTTTCTCTGAGAGAGGCAGAGTTCAGGTACAGAGGAAGAAGATGAGGCCCAATGGGTATTCAGAAGGGAAGACAGGAGTAACTTCCCCTATATCACATTTTGGCTAGGATCCAGATGGCAACAGCTTGCTCTTCAACTTCAAATCTTAAGATTTTAATACAGAAAATTTTTAATGTAGAATGTAATTATATAATGTAGATATATATACTATATGTATATAATATATGTTATTTAATATAAATAATACTTATTTCAAGGATAGAGAGTCTGCCATGAGTATCCAGCTTTTCATTACCCCATCTACACAGTCTGTTTAAAAAGTCTTCCTGGGATGCCTGGGTGGCTCAGTCAGTTAAGTGTCCAACTCTTGATTTCAGCCCAGGTCATAATCTATGGATCGTGAGATCAAGCCCAATGACAGGCTCCACACTTGCAGTGGAGTCTGCTTGAGATTCTCTCTCCTCCTCTGCCCCTCCCCCCATGCACATGCACGTGAGCTCTAAATAAATAAAAATCTTTTAAAAAGTCTTCTTAGCAAGGTTCCTCAAAAAGTTAAAAACAGGGGCACCTGGGTGGGTCAGTCAGTTAAGCGTCTGCCTTTGGCTCAGGTCATGATCCCGGGGTCCTGGGATCGAGCCTGACATCGGGCTTCCTGCTCAGCAGGAGGCCGGGCTTCTCCCTCTCCCACTCCCCCTGCTTGTGTTCCCTCTCTTGCTGTGTCTCTCTGTCAAATAAATAAATAAAAAATCTTAAAAAAAAAAATCCTAGAGGAGAACATAGGCAGTAACCTCTTCGACATCGGCCACAGCAACTTCTTTCAAGATACATCACAACATCGGCCACAGCAACTTCTTTCAAGATACATCTCCAAAGGCAAGTGAAACAAAAGCAAAAATGAACTTTTGGGACTTTACCAAGATAAAAAGCTTCTGCACAGAAAAGGAAACAAAACAAAGAGGCAACCCACAGAATGGGAGAAGATATTTGCAAATGGCACTTCAGACAAAGGGCTGATATCCACTTCTCAAACTCAACATCTAAAAAACAAGTCAAAAAATGGGCAGAAGACATGAACAGACACTTCTCTGAAGAAGACATACAAATGGCGAACAGAGACATGAGAAAATGTTCATCATCATTAGCCATCAGGGAAATTCAAATCAAAACCACACTGAGATACCACCTTACACCAGTTAGAATGGCAAAAATGGACAAGGCAAGAAACAACAAATGTTGGAGAGGTTGTGGAGAAAGGAGAACCCTCTTACACTGCTGGTGGGAATGCAAGTTGGTACAACCACTTTGGAAAACAGTGTGGAGGTTCCTCAAAAATTTAAAAATAGAGCTACCCTATGACCCAGCAATTGCAGGTATTTACCCCAAAGACACAAAAAGAAGGGCCATATGCACCTCAATGTTCATAGCAGCAATGTCTGCAATAGCCAAACTGTGGAAAGAGCCGAGATGCCCTTCAACAGACGAATGGATAAAGAAGATGTGGTCCATATATACAATGGAATATTACTCAGCCATCAGAAAGGATGAATACCCAACTTTTACATCAACATGGAAGGGACTGGAGGAGATTATGCTAAGTGAAATAA